AAGGAGGGGACATAGGCATTGCTTCCCACTGTCAGGAACAAGAGACTCTCCTCTCTTGAATCTCTCTTACCTGTCACTTTGACCTTTGTTATGGACTATATCAGTGGTGTCATACTCAAATAGGAAGCGGACCACTCATCCATACTTAAGGATATCAGCTGGCTACATGATGACTTAATTTTAAAACACAGTAGTAAGTATGTTTTATTGTATTGCTATTTTTATTAAAGATTTCTCAATCACATTTTAATCTGGTTCTGTTGCGGGCAGCAAGACTTTGACATCTCTGGACAAGATCATCCTCTAACATCTATTTTTGTATGTTATTGTGCATTATTTGTACATCCTTCCTGTCCCCTGGTTCATAAATTCCATGAGTTGAAGAGCCCACAAGAAGGGAGAAGAAAGTAAAGTAAAGGGAAAACAAACAAATAAGTAGATTATGGAAGCAATGGATGCTAAATTGGGAAGGGACCCCAGAGATCACCTAGCCCCACCCATGCATTCTGCAAAGGAGGACGCTAAATTTTCTACCCCCTTCCTCAAACTTCTTGCGAGATGACAAACTCCTTAAGGGGAGGGATTGTGGGATTTTTTTTTTTAATCTTTGCAGACCCAGCACAGGGTAACCCATGGAGTTGTCTCTTAATAAATGTTTGTTGAACAAACGTAGGTTTTGTTTTGTCAGGGCAGAGTTGCAGCTCTGCAGTATGATGGGGATAAGGATAAGGATGAGGATGAGGATGATAGGTAGCATTTTCATAGCACTTTCAGAATTTCCAGAGTTGGTACTGGGCTTCTATCTTGGGAGTACAGTCACTTTCCTAATTATGTATATGCTTCCCCTTCCTTTCTTTGTGTGTTAGAGACTTGGGCACTTATAACTGAGAGAATACGTCCCATAGAGATTGTCTTGAAAATCACAAGGCCTAGATTTAGGGACAGAACAACTGGCACACTCTGTACTATAGAAAGTGTGCTTTATACTCTGGGTTGAAAAATACATGTTCTCCTGATTTCCTCCAGGTTACCACTCCCATAGGGGTAATGTATAACTTTCTATAAATAGCCTCAATATGACCTACAATTTAACCTTAATTTTTCCACTTCATTTTAACTTTACTGCAGCCAGGGTCAGGCCCCTTGAATTTCTGAAAAATGTAGCCTACCTGCTTCCATACTTGGTCTTTGATTAGTATTATTCTTTAGACTCTATACATCTTCCATCCCCTTTTAGAAGAGGCTTCCGTTCAAGTGTTACTTTTGCTACTGGTTGTATGTATCCAGCTCCTAAAATCACCTTATTTTATTTTGCGTGTATTTTTTGGAACAGAGGTAGTAAGATGTAGTGCATAGAGAACCAGCCTTGGAATCAGGAAGATCTGAGTTCAAGTCCAGTTTTTGACATGTCGGCTATGTGACCTTGAGTAAATCATTTAATGTCTCAATGCCTTAGGCAACTCTCTAGAACTTGTCATCCAGAGTTCCTCTTCTCATCTTGTCCAAATACATATACACACATATATATGCACATGTGCATATATACATATACAAACCCAGATATCTAAATCAAATGATATAAATAAATGTAGGGATGACATTATAGATCTAGCCCAGAGAGATAGATAATATGTATAAATATCTGTAGACAAAAAAATGTATGTATAAACCTTTTTGGAGGCAGTGGTCATTTTTTTGGCCTTTATACCTTCATTGCACCATCTCACGAATAGTTGATGCTTAATAAATGCTTATCGTTTGACTGGTTATATAAGCATTTATAGAACACTATGCTGGCACTCTGAATGATACAAAATAAGTATTTCTTCTCCCTTCCCATACGGAGTTTACAGTCTTAGTGTGGAGATGGAACCTGTGCTTGGGAAAAGCTTCGTAGAAAAGGCATATAACTTTAGAGTATGTCATTCTAAATCAAAGTGTGATAGCAGTTCAAAGGAAAATGGTGCCTGATGTGGACTGGAGTCATCAGGGGAGGTTTTTTTAGAGGTGGTGGAACTTCTGCTGAGACTGGAAGGATTTAGAAAAAAGTAGAGAAGAAAGGGCATTCAATGTGGAGGTAAGAGCATATACAAAGGCATAAAAGTGAGAATAAGTGTAGAAAGCAGAAAGCAGCCTGACTGCCCAACTAGAGCAGAGGAGGCATTCAAAGAGAGTAAAATCCAAGATGGATTGGCATATTGGAGCCAGACTAAATAACATCAGCAGTCATTTATTAAGGAAGGAAAGAAATGTGCTAGGTGCCAAGGGGAATAGATACAACATTTAGATAGGACATAGTACTGACTCTCATTGAATTTATGGTCTAGGAGGCTTTGAAAGTCAGAAAGAAGACTTTGGCTTTGGTTTGTAGAAAATAAGGAGCCATGGTGAGTTTTTGAGCAGGAGAGTCATGTGATAAGAGACATGTTTCTGGAAAATAAATCTTTTAGAAGCCTCTTGTCAATCTCCCTGAAAAGACTCTGTTACTCTCTGATGAAGTTTGTCCCCTTTAACCAGGAATTCTGCTGTTCACTTCTCTGTCTTCTCTGGCTGACTTCTCTTATTCTCTGCCCCCTGAGAGCCATAAAAGTCTCTCTTGGCTGAAATACAGTATGTCACATCTCTTGTTTATCTACAATTAACTATCCGCTGTAGATCATTAGCACAGTTTGCTAATTTCCAAGTTGGAAATACTTTCAGGGACATAAAGTAAGTGCTAATTTCCCACACCTTTGACTGAAATATGAACTTGGTCTTTGGCTGAAGTATGAACTTTCACTGTGACGTATACATTAAGGGGCAGAAGATCAGAAGTTTGAGGCTAGAAGGAAAGTTGGAGATCACAATGTAATCCAACTACCACATTTGTACAGTGGAGCAAACTGAAGACTAAGGAGATTAAGACTGGCTGATATATCACATAGAGGCAAAATGCATAATAGGAAGAGATTTCATCGAGATCCTTTAGTTTATCACCCTTATTTTATAGATCAGGAAAGTGAGACCAGAGGAGGTTAAATAACTAACCCCAAGTCACACTTCTTACTGCAAATCCAGGTATTCATTCAAATTCATAGGCTACTGCCCTGTTCCCTTTGGCTTTTGTTAATATGTACAGGAAAGATTTTAATTCCAAAGAGCCCAGTTAATGATCCGTCCCCAAAGTTATGTCCTTGCCAATCATTCTGCAATTTATATAACATTCCCAGTAAGTCAAAAGAATAGACAATTTTCTTTATCTAAATGAAATCTACAACTTGGGTAGGAGATTGGAGATCCACTGGGGTATGAGGGACTCCTCCCAAATGAAAATTTTGGAAACAAGAAAGTGAAGCTCTGTCTACTCAATATTCAGGAAGCTAGATTTGTCGATGCAAATGGAGATTACCATCTTGTACTTTTTAATGACTTTGCTTGTAGCCCTTCTATATCAACTTTGCTCAGATTCTACATTATCTTTTCATGGGAGATATGAGAGTTTGCATGAAGAAACGCATAACATGCTGAGCATTCTTTTAGATCATATTAGATTGATTTTTTAATATCCTACAGAGCCAGAAGCAGCATGGCCCAGTGACTAAAGGGTCAGTCTTGGAGTCAGAAAGACTTGGGTTATATGCTGCTTGTGACATACACTTGTTCTCAGAGCAAGTCGTTTAACATATCAGTGACCCTAGGCAACCTGCTAAGACTGTTAAGTTATAGACAATATCAACAAAGAAATGTGAGAAGGCACCTCCCTCACCTGCTTTGCAAAAGCAAGGAACTAGGGGTGTGAAATATTGCATATTATATCAGACTTTTTTGCTATATTGGTTAGTTTTGCTGAACTATTTCCCCCTCTTTTGTACTTTTGGTTAAAAAGGTTGGCTCTCTGGCAGGAGATGCAGATACACTGAGAAATGTAGGTGACATAAAAACAAAATATATCAGTGAAATTTATTTTTAAAATTATTATACCAGATATGGTGGCACATACTTATAGTCTCTGATACAGGGGAGTCCAAGGCTGGTAGATTGTTTAAGAAATCCTGAGTCCCTGGAATAGGACTAAAGCTATCAGGTGTCTGTACCAGGTCTGGCACCAATATGGTGAGCCACCATCATGGGTGGGTGGGAGGAGGAGGGAGAGAAGGCAATCTAAGAAGGAACTAACTAGCCCTGAGCACGTCAGAGTTTCAGTGCTGATCAGCAGTGGGGTCAGGCCATGAGTGAAGTTCAGGACAGTGAGAAGTTCCAGTCGCCAGAAAGAAAAAAAAAGTTACAGAAGAGTTCCAGATCCCTAACAGTGAAGGAAATTGCCACACCAGAAGTACTGCCAAACTGATGAAATCACAGTCTAAACTAACTATATGTAGACATATATGCACATATGAGTGGATATGCATATGTGTATATATACATATAGTTTATGTATATGTTATATGTAAATATACATAGAGAGAGAGAGAGAGAGAGAGAGAGAGAGAGGAGCTGTATACATATCAGAAACAAAAAGTGCACGTGCAAAGATGAGCTCTGTACCTTTGGCACATGCTAAAGCTCGAGCTGTTGAGGATTGAATTAGGTAAAGATGTCATCAAACAAAATGATCCATTAAGTTACTAGTGAAAACATTTCTTGTTAATACATATCCCTTAAAGGGCAACAGTGCCAGAATGAAAGACGAGTTTGATAAATGTTAGACATGGTTTAATTGTGCCAATTTCCTTGTCGTTTGCATTTTCTACTGCAAAACAGTTATTGTTACGGGGGAAAAAATGTCAGAAATGTTATCACTTATTCAAATTCCCAGAATGGCCCTTTTCCAGAACAGCACAAATCTCAGAGGATGTGATAGGACTGTGCAGAAGGGAGGGGAAATTCACAGGAGAGTATTATTTCTCCTTCTCATGGTATTTTATTTTAAATGTGGTAAGAAAGAAATGTGAGCAACCTAGCCTTTGTTTGGAGTAGAAGATTCAGTATTTTAAGTGTTTTCTTTTTCCCCCCTTTTTTAGGCCAGCCCTGCTCCTATTATTGTCAACACAGATACTTTGGATACTATTCCTTATGTGAGTATAATTTTTCTCTTGATTTCCTTTCAAAAATTACATAATAAACTAATCATTTGATTTTGTGTGTGTATGTGTGTGTCTGTATTCTGTTTTATCCAATAGTTTATCTCATAAGATGCTTCCTAAAATTAGTTCTGTCTTTGTCTTTTCATATTCGCTAAATCCATGGTTAGCTATGCAAATAATTCCCACTTTCACTGAATGTTTCTGAAACCGAAGGGAACTACACATGAAGGGAAAGAATAAGAAAATGCCTCCATGGAAAACACACCCATTGCTCCATTCACTGCAGCCAGATTTTCCCCTGAAGGTATCATATGATGGGATTTTAAGAGGCAGAAATGAGGATGGGCTGCCTTAGAGACCTGTATGACCACATCTGTGACTGTGGGGAGCAGAAAGATGTAGTGTTATGCATGGGAAACAGCTCGCAGGCCAGTTTAACTAGAACACAGAGCCTGTGGAAGGGGATAAAGGACTAAGAGACTGTGAAGGTAGATGGATCCATATTGTAAAGGGCTTTAAATGCCAGCCTGGGGTTTGTGTGCTTTCTCCTATAAACAACATGGAGCCATTGAAGATGTTTGAGTAGGGAAGTGACATAGTCTCATCTGTATTTTAGAAATGCCAGTTTGGCAGTGGTGTGGAGGATGGATTGGGTGAGAGAAACCAGAAGCAGGGACTCTGAAATTCCACTTTATGATCAAAATTTCTTGCCCTGCTAACTCTCCCACTGCCTCCTTCTGCTTGAAATTACTGACCCTCATAATGACATTTGTTCAATAATATCCTTTGATCATTCTCGGTTCTCCAGGAACATCATCCCTGTTCTAGCTTCATCTCTCAGTCCATATTCTTAACCCTATTGTCAGCCATTTCAGCAGGGGTCTGTTTTCTACCTAGAATCCTGTGCAACCTTGTTCTGACCTTCCATTATTTCTACTGTGTTACCCCCTAATACAGGGCAGCAAGGTGGCCCAGTAGATAGAGCACCGGGCCTGAAGTCAGGAAGAATCATTTTCCTGAGTTCAAATTTTACCTCATACACTTACTAGTTCTGAGACCCTAGGCAAGCCTAGTTTTCCTGTTTCCTCCTCTATAAAATGAGCTGGAGAAGGAAATGGCCAACAACTCCAGTATCTTTGCCAAAAACAAAAAACAAAACCCAAAGAGTATTATGGAGAGTCAGACACGACTGAAAAATGACTGAACAACAACTCCCTAATACCTCCCTAATGAGTATTCTTTACACAGATGCCTAAACATCTATAACATGTATAAATCCAACCTTGTCACTACCTTCCTTAAAACCTTCAGTGGCTATTCATTGTTTGTCTATAAAATGTGAACCAACTCCTTAGCTTGGAATATAAGGAACTCCATGATCTCTCTTCAGCCTGCATTTACAGGTTCATTTCACACTATTCTACTTCAAACACTCAATGAGTCTACCAAGCAGACTGCCAACTGAGACTTCTCCCCGCTTTCACCCACCTTCCTTGTATTCACACAGACAGGCCACCCTCTGTGCTGGGAAAACTGTCCTTCTACATGTTCCTCTGTTGAAATGCTTCAAGGATCAGTCCATTTACCTGCTTTCCATGAAGCTTTTCCTGATTTTCCCTAGATGAAAGTGATTTCTTCCACTGTAATTTGCTTACCTCACTCTGTTTTATCTTGATCTCCTCTTTGCCCCATCCCATGCTGTCTTGTACCACAGGAATTTTTTTACCTGTCATATATCAACTTTTTATTCCTTCATTAAATTGTAAGCACCTAGAGGACAGGGAGTAGGGCTCTGTCTTCACTTTATACAGCACCTAGCACATGGCCTTATGTATTATAATCAGTGTTTATGCAAGATTATTGAATGGTTCAGTAGATGGTTCAGTGGACGTAGTATTGTGTTCTATAAGATCCAAGGAAGAACAAAGCCCTTAGCTTACTTGGTGAAAAAACACTGATAATGAGAATTATTTCTAGTAAAAAATTCAACTGTAATCTTTATTTCAGTGGTAAGTTGTACCACTAAGTATACATTTATATTAATTCTACTACTGTAAAAACTATAGTAAGCCAAAAGATACACTATAACATCCCAAGTAGATTCATTCCTTATTCCCTCCCTCCTTCTTCTTTTTCCTATCTCTTCTTCATCTATCTCTCCCCTTCTTTCTCTCCTCCCCTCTTCTTCCATCTCTCCCCTTCTCTCTTCCTCTTCATCCCTCTTCTCCCTTTTTTCCCTCTTTTCCTCCTCCCTGTCCTCTCTTTTTCCCTCTTCCCCTCTTCTCTCTCTCTCTCTTTCTCTCTCTCTTTCTCCCCCCTCTTTCCCTCTCTCTCTCTCTCCCCCCCTCTTTTCCCCCTCCCTTCCTCATCTTTCTCCTATTACATTGTAAGGTCTTCTCTCTCTCCTATATCATTTCTCTCCCACATTCTCCCTCCCTATCCTTTCTTTTCTCTTAGAATCTCACACCTGTCTCTTTTCTTACATCCTTTTCTCTTTCCCTTTCTACTTAGGAAAGAAGATGCCCACATACACTAACATGGCCTTGGGTGATAGAAAACATGTTACAGAATCCCTGACACCTTTAGGTAAAGGGCAACCAATGTGTCCTAAATCATTCTTATCCCAATTCCCAGGCATACTTTAGCAAAGTTAACCAATCTTATTCTGATGATATAGGAATATAGAACAGAGAGATAATTCTTTGAACAGAAGCTTTACTTTTGAGCAGTATCAATTTAGGCCCCTAATCTCTCAGATGCCAAGCTCACACTTCAGAACAGAAAATGCTGACAGAATTAAGGGAAATCCTCCAGGCCTGCTAGCCTGAGACTTGAGCTAGTCAACTAGTCAGAAGAATTATTTTAAAAAAATTATGCGGTCTGTCCCTTCTTCCTGAAAGCTGGCACTTAGGTAAGACCAAATATTAAAAGGTCTTTTAAAGTTTTGTTTTCCCTTATATTTCCTTATATATCATAAAAATCTGGTATTTGTACTTGAATTGTTTGGTTTTATTAAAATTGGAAATATAAAGATTCTTCCTATGTTCCTTCAGAAATGCAGATTATAGTTTATGTGTTTCAGCTGTTTTGAGATTCATCTACATATGGTCAGCTCTGTACATTCAGGAATACGGTGCCGCACTGGATTCAAGGTCTTTGGTTTATGTTCATTAAGTGATGAATTGTGAGGTAGAGAATGTTGTCCTAGGGGCAGCTAGGTGGCGTAGTGGATAGAGCACTGGCCCTGAAGTCAGGAGGACCTGAGGTCAAATCCAGCCTCAGACCAAACACTTGACATTTACTAGCTGCGAGACCCTGGGCAAGTCACTTAACCCCAATTGCCCTTAAAAAAAAAAGAAAGAAAGAACGAAAGAAAAAAGAGAGAATATTGTCCTAGATTAGAACAAGAAAGACATAAATTCAAATCCTGACTCTGACACTTAGCCTTGAGATTAAGGGAAAATCATTCAACCTTTGGACCTTAGTTTTCTGATATGTAAAATGGGAATAATGATGATAATGATAACCGTAATACTTATAATACCTGCCTCATAAAGTTGTTTTGAAGCTCAGGTGGGATAATTCCTATAAATGCTTTTCAAAGGCTAAAAGAATTACATAAATATCAACTACTATTAGTATCTTTATCTTGTTCATGCTTTGCACCCTTTGCTTGCTCTGAAAATGTATATTAATAATATAATCTATTGTATATAGGATCTGAAGGTTTATAAAGTATTTTCCTTGCAATGATCTCATTAGATAGTTCTGGAAATATTATTATCACCATTTTATATATTCAAAAATTGAAGCCCTGAGAGATTGGAACCCTGGTCTTCTCATTCTCCTATGCCATGTTATTAAAAAGAGATATAAAGACCCATTTTATGCCTATCTTAACCACCTGAGACCTGATAAATATAAACTACATTCTGATAATTCTGGCAAGACCTACTATGTGTAAAGTTGGACATTGTTCTAGATGCTGTGTATACAAAAACAAAAATGTAATTGTACCTGCCCTCAAGGAGCTTATACTCTTCTGGGAGGAACAACATGAACATAAATAAATAAAAAGAATGTGCAAAGTAAAGATAAATTAATTCAGGCATTGGGGGAGAGTGTTTTAGGAACTGGGAAGAATCCGAGTAGGCCTCATCTAGGAGTTAGCATGTGATATGAGCTTTGAATAAAGCTAGGATATCTACAAGCCAAGGTGAGAAGGGAATGAATTCCAGACATTAGGGGAAGCCTGCTCAAAGATGTAGAGGCAGGAAGTTAATGGTTATATACATGAAACAGCAAGTATAAGTTTGTTTGAGATATAAAATATATGAAGGAGAATCATTCAGCTACCCAGACACTACTCTGCTTAGAGTCAGGACATACTGAGTTCAAATTCTGCCTTAAATATTTCCTAGTTGTGTGACCCTACATAAGTCACTGAGCTCTCTGGTTTCATTTTCTTCATTAATAAAATGGGGATCATAATAGTACCTATAGCATACAGTTGTTGTGATGCTCAAATGAGATAATATATGTAAAGTATTCTGTCAACTTTAAAGCACTATATAATGCTTGTTATAAATACCCAATAATAATAGATTGGGTTCAGATTGTGATGGATATTGAATGCCAAACAAAAGCAAAGAGGATAGGGCTAAGGACAGCCCTGAGGTGCACCCCTGCCTACAGGAAGTAGATCCAACAAAGAGACTAGAAGGAGCAATTGAATGGCAAGAGGTGAACCAGGAGAATGAAGTATAACAAACATCCACACAGAAAAGACTACTCAGGAAAGAGAGGATGGTCTGCAACGTCAAAGGCTGCAGAGAGGTCAACAAGAATGACAACTGAGAAGGGGCCATCCTATTCGGCATTTAAGAGAAAATGACCTTGCTACAGAGTGGAATACAGTAATCCTCTTTTCCGTGTTCTGTTTAATTTTATAGCAAGCCCATATTTCAGTGATCAAATTAAAAGCAAAGAAT